GTTTGAAGCCCGAATTTTGTCAACTAGGGCGGCACGCTGCACGATGTACCCAAGCCGCTTGAGATAAGCGTAGATTTGGTACCGCGACAAACTGCACGAGTTGCAGCCAAGAATCTGAGCGTATGCTTGTGCCACTGAGATTGGCATACAAGACGAAAAGTCTTGGGGCTCCGGCAGTTGACCTGGGGTACGCGTCCAACGGCAGTCGAGAGCGCCACGCTCAATTAGATACACTGTTTCTTCCGGAAACAGTTCAAGGTTCGTGACGAATCCTTCTGCTTTCGCTCTCCTTTCAGACAGTCCGACATTCACGCAGGATTGTCCCCGTTGGGTATGCACAATGGCCCGCTGGAAAATGGGGTCCCAAGTGGCCGTTGATAGAGACTTGCTGTGTGTCAGTCGGTACGATCAGCACGAACCTGGAGTGCGCGCGAGGAAGAGAGACTGTCGAGAATAGAGCTTCGCGACTTTGATCGAGTACTTTTGCTTGTCCGCCAAACCCTGTCGGCTCAAAATCTTTCTCCCCTCGCTTAGGGATCGAAGGCGCAGGCGCATCAGCAGGGAGGCCGGCGCTCAAGTGCCGCTTCGATAGTGCAGAGAGGACACTATAATCTGGCATGTCCTCCTCATCATCCGAATCACCCATAGGGCGTTTCTCCTGGGCTACTTTGTCATCCTCATCCATAGTGATGCTGTGCCAGAGGGGACGTTCCCTGCGGCGTACTTCTGAGAAACGAGTATGACTAAGCAGATCGTCTTGCCAGTGGAGAGGGAGCTCGGACTTTCCGTAACCCTTGGCACGGGACCATGGCACTTTCAGGGCCTTGGGATCTCCCCAATGGAGACAATATGACAATGCCCGAGATGCCTGGACCGAGAGGCAAGACATTCGCAGGTCCATGGCTCCAGCAGCAAATCGTCCTTTCGTTCACCGTTGGGTTTATGTCGATGCTCGTGTTCGGATTGTGGAAACGCCACTACCCGGCCATGTATTTGGCACGCCACCATGCGCAAGGATCCGCGCTGCCTTATCAAAAAATGAGGAACGGAGTCTTTAGTTGGATTCTGCCCACCATCCTTTACTCAGATCACAGTGTCCTGCATACAGTCGGACTCGACGGTGCGGTAGCTCTTCTGTTTCTAAAGATGGGCTTTGTCTATCTCACTCTATCAACATTGTGGGCGGTATTTGTATTGATGCCTATTAACTATTATTCCAATGGCTGGGTCGATGGAGTCAAGCCGGGCGAAACGCCTGGCGACGATATCGATTACATGGTCATGGCCAAGAAAAAGCAGCCACAGGATCCTTTACCGGTGATCCCCTTTCCCAGTATTGTCACGCGGGATACGCTTTATGAAAATACGCAGCTTTTGAGTACATTTTTGTACTCACTTCTGGCCATGTGGGTTCTCAGGCGCACGTACCATGTGTTCATCAGATACCGACAGGGCCACGCATGCTTGCGAAGGAGTAATGAAACTGCGCGCACTGTTGAGGTTCGGATGATACCTGACCACCTCCGCACAGTGGAGTCGCTGGAAAGCTATTTTAGCGATATTCACCTGGATGTCGAGCATGTTAGTATTCTCAAGGATACCCAACTTCTCGACAAACTGCTGATTCGGAGAGCAAAGAAGCTGCAGCAACTTGAACGCGCTTGGTTCAAATGGATTGGAGATGAACCCGTGGACAATTATCATCCGGATGGGATTCGCGAACAGACGCTGGCTTTTTTGGAAGCACCCCGACCAGGAGAGCCGCCTGTGGTCGGTGCGTCAATAGTAACGAGCCGTCCGCGACCAAAGATGCTGGCCACAAACTGGAGATGGTTTGGTCAGCGTGTGGATCGCATCGATCAGCTGTCATACGAGTTTGCATCGCTAGATGCGACGGTTCAGGAACTTCGTGATTCAGGGTTCAAAGACGGACATACAGCGTTTGTGACTTTCCACAATGCTTGGAGCTCAGTATGTACCTTGTGACTGACACATTAGCAAATCGCTAGTCAGGTCGTGCATTATCCTGTGCCAGGGTCCATGCTCACAGAACCTGCGATGGAACCTAGAGACATTATCTGGATGAATGAGGAAACGAACGTATGGGATCGCCGGGTCCGTCAAGGTGTTATGACCATGCTGATTGGCTTGCTTCTCACGCTCACGTTGTCGATCGATTTCGTGCTGGCGACACTTGTGAATGTGAATGAGATTCGAGAATATTTGCCGTGGCTGGGTGATATGTTGAATGAACATGCTTGGCTACGAACATTTGTTCAAAACTCGCTCCCCACTTTGCTCCTGATCTTAATTAACGCTCTCATCCCTGTCGCGATGCGATATTCTACCTACTTCCAACGGATTCGCTCACATTCCCGAGTTGACCACAGCGTGCTCAATAAGTATTACCTCTACTTGTTGTTCTCAGTGGTATTTGTTTTTCTATTCACCAGCGCACGCGATATGCTAAAGGAACTGTCGCAAAGTCCGATGCATATGATCGACAAGCTGGCTCAGTCTTTGCCCGTGGCGCGCAATTTCTCGTTGTCGTACGTGGTCTTTCAGGGACTTGCTTTACAGCCGTTCCAGCTCGTTCTTTTGCCAACGATTCTGAGCCAACAACTGCACCGTATGTGGTACCGACGTACACCTCGACGCCGCATGCAAATGTATCAGCCACCGATGTTGAATATGAGTACATTGTATCCACAAGCTCTGCTGATATTTACTCTGTCTGTGCTGTACAGCATTGTCTCCCCTCTGATCACATTGTTTGGTGCTATTTGTAAGTACCGGTGCTACTTACACAGACTTTGGCTTTGCCTACGTGGTGCTGAAGTACCAGTTGTTGAATGGTATGTGTCTTTCTATTCATTGGCAGTCTTTGAAAAACCCTATGATTCGCATGGACACGCATGGCCCCTGGCAATTCGACGCTGTATTTGGGCCCTAGTGCTATTTCAAGTGTTCCAGCTTTCGCTGTTCTCAGTGCGAAAACAAGTGATCAACAGTTTACTTATTGTTCCACTAATTTTCTACACCATATGGTTTGCAAATAACCTCCAGGAACTATTCCTTCCTCTCACCTCCTACGTGAACCTTTACGATATCTTCACCATGGACAATGAGAGTCACCTGCATGTGCAAGAGGACGACCTGTCCAGCCGAGATGCGGATGAGCCTGCATCCAATGACATGGCCCAGGAATCATTCGAGCCACCCTTGTCGTGGAATCATCCGGGCCTTCTTAAAGTTTCACATCACACGTACGGACAGCCAGCCTTGAAAGGACGGCTTCCTTCTCTTTGGCTTCCATAAAACATTTGTGGTCATGAAACGTAGATATCATGTACAGACGTAGGCACGATTTATCCTAGACGCACGGCATTGGCACCACTAGCATACTTGGAGCGCTTCGAGGGCCGGGAATCATCGTGGGCCTTGTCCCAGCCAGGTAGGGCTTTTTCTTGACTAGAGTTCTCTGACATCTTGCGCTTGCGCTCTTCAGCACCTGGCTTGACGTATTTCTCGTGGATTTTGCGTCGTTCCTTCTCCAAACTCTCATTTTTGACTTTGATTTTTTCCTTACGGTGCTGACTTTTGCCACCCCCACCGGCGGTAAGTTCCACGTTTATTTGACGGCCATGGAACATGGTATGATGAAATCGAAGTGCTTTTTGAAGTGACATGCCATTGGAAAATTCCACAAACGCACAGCCTTTGGAGATAGGAGCAGACGGATCTCTCGCCTTCCCCTTTGCGATGGACTTCTTCTTGGAATTCGAAAGACCAGCCGAGGCATTCGGATCAGCCTTTTTGGTAAGAAGCCGTACTTTAGGAATTTCACCACATGTGTCACCTATATGTTTCGCCAACATATCGGCCGTCACATCGAATGACATGTTGCCCACAAAAACAATGTACTTGATCCCGTTCTCTTTGGATGGCGGTTCAGAGACTGCTTCCTCGTGTGCGGTCCCATCTTCGTCGAACACCATTCGCGTTTTTCCTTTCTTGGATTTCTTTGCTGGGACTGGCGACTTAACTTCTTTGTCCTGCGGTTCCGAGATGGGTTGCGAAGCAGTGGTCGCACTTTCAGCTTCGCTTACCGCAGTCAGAGCTTCGTCAGCTTCTAGAGTGTTGGGATCTTCGGATTCTGGAGTGTTGGTAGATTTGAGATCATCCGCCTTCCGCTTGGACTTGAATTTAGCTGCCTTCTTCTGCTTTTTGGTGAGGGCGGTGGGATCACTTGACATGGCACGGACGTTGGAAAAAAAAACGTGTGGAGAGTTGGCTATGAGTAGTCGCAGGGACCAAATGCGCCAGTCGGAGCCTACCAAACTTTACATGATTGAAGCATACTCACAATTTTGTCGAGTCTTTGACGCTCTTGGAACATATTCAATCCTTCGACATCCGTTGTTGACAAAGGATCAAGTGCAAGTGCAATGACAAGTGTCTTTGGGCCCTCTTCTGCCACAGATGGGATACCACCGTCAGATAGGTGGGAGGTGTGTGAGACGTAGATGGCAATTTGAGTTGCATAAAAGGCATACAGATCTTGCGTGAGATCAGGGGGAGCGCCAAATAGAGGAACTAATGTAACATTGGGAAGAGGGGGTATCGAGTGATCAGCATCCCTGGTAGAATGAAGGCTGCATTGGACCTGCGCTTGTACCTGGAGTGTCAGCATGATTGAACATACCACGTAGCCAAGTTTCTCGCGTTGGGATACACTTATGAATACCCTGTCCGAGTACATCTGGCAAAGCACTGTTAGATTGCTCCCACAATCTAGTTGAGCAGTGATGCTTTTTGTGGGAATAACCTGTGTATTAGATAGTTCCTCAACAAGGACAGGGCTCGGGTCGGGTCGCAACATACTGCGCGGCACCGTGACAGGAGTGGAGAGGTCAACCATGCGACGCTGGCACGACAATAGTAGTTGTTGTAATCATATCGGATATAATCCCTCTCTTGCACGCGCTCTCTTAAACTGTGGTAGGATGGCCGAGTGGTCTAAGGCGGTTGATTCAAGTATATGTTGAATATTTCGGCGATTTCGCCGGTTCCCAACTTATCCTGGGTTCGAATCCCAGTTCTACCATATTTTTGCCCCCGGATGTACCCTGAAGGACGCTTATGTATGATTGAGCTCGTCATTTTGCCACGTGCCATACAATAGGAGGTTCTCAACCCACAATTCCATTTTCTTGGCCACGATGTCGGAACAGCGTCACATCGTTATTGTCGGTGGCGGCATTATAGGATGCAGTATTGCCTACTTTTTGAGTCGACGCTCTGATTGCCCCAAGGTCACCATTCTGGAGTCAAGCAAGGATGTGGCACCGGGTGCATCTGGTAAAGCTGGCGGTTTCTTGGCATTGGATTGGCATGGTACATCCACTGCCAGTCTGGCAGCTTTGAGCTTCGACCTTCATCGCCAGCTTGCCGAGAAAGAAAATGGCGCTGAGTTCTGGGGATACCGCACGGTTGACACTCATCAACTGAGCCTGGACACTTCCCGCAAGTCTCGTTCGCGCCCCAAGTTGGACTGGCTCAACCAGAACGTATTCCTTACCATGAGCTTGATTGGTGGCGGTGGAACGACAGCGCAAGTGACGCCTGGTAAGCTTACCCGCTTCTTGGCGACAAAGGCGAAGGAAGCAGGAGTCACGCTGCGTGTGCAAACCAAGGCCCAAGGACTCTCCTTCAGTGACTATGGCAAGATTAACGGTGTGCAGATTCGTTTCGAGGGTAAGGAGGAACTTCTGCCTGCCACAGATGTTGTGTTGGCCACAGGACCTTGGACTGGAAAGCTGCTTCAGTCTTGGTTCACGCCTGAAACCATGCCGCCGTTCCTGCGCTCGGCAGCCATGATTGAAGGCAGCCGCGCTCACAGTATCGTCATTCAAGCTGCAAAGCGCCACCAACTGTCAGCAGACTGCTTCTTCTCTGAGATGCGCTATGGTAGCTCCGCTGGTGCGCCTGAATTCTATATCCGTCCTAAGGGCGAGGCCTACGCCGCAGGAGGAACTGACGACGTGCCGATCCCTGAGCTGGCAGACGATGTGACCTACGATCCGAAGCGTACAGCAGAGCTGCAACGCCAGTGTGCAGCTCTGAGTCCAGAGTACCTCGATGTGAATGGTGGTGCTGATCTGGTTGCGGAACAGGCTTGTTATTTGCCTATCTCGCCCCGCACAGCCGCTCCCATCCTAGGAGGCTCGGCTGAGCAAGGTCTATACGTTGCCTCAGGACATGCTGTCTGGGGTATCAGCAACAGCTTGGGTACTGGCAAAGTGATGGAAGAACTGCTGTTGGATGGCAAGGTCACAAGCGCTGACATCCGTCACTTGCACCCGTAATCTGACTTGGATTCACGCCATGCTTCCACCCCTAGACAGGATGGATAGAGAAAAGATCTGTACCTATGCTTGGTAGGCCAAACGGCGCGCGAACTCGATCAGAGCCCGCACAGGGCGGCCTGTGAGGCCCTTGCCTTGGTAGTCATTGAGAGTGTTGGCGGCAGCTTCCATCGAGCCAGCAATATCAATGTGGGCATAGCGCACCTTTGCAGGCTCGCCCTCAGCGCGGTTCTCGAGACCATGGACAAACTGCTTCAAGAATACGGCCGCAGTGCAAGAGCCAGCAGAAGGGCCACCTGTGTTCACAAGGTCTGCGTTTGTCTTGGAGATCTGGGAGAGATACATGTCAGTGAGGGGCATGCGCCAGCAAAGGTCATGTTCCGCCTCAGCGGCCACCTTTAACTCGCGCCAGAGTGAATCCGTGTCGGTGAAAACACCCGAGTAAACGTCACCGAGCGCGATCACGCATGCGCCAGTCAGAGTAGCCACGTCGATGACAGTGTGAGGCGCAAACGTATCAGAGACATACGAGAGAGCATCCGCAAGAATGAGGCGGCCCTCCGCATCCGTGTTGTCGACTTGCACGGTAAGACCATTGCGAGCCTCGAAGATGTCACCTGGCTTTGTCGCCCGTCCGCTCGGCATGTTCTCCGTAAGCGGCGTCACAGCCACGAGGTTGATGGGCAGACCGAGCTGTGCAATCGCAAGGGTGGTAGCCACTACAGCTGCAGCGCCACCCATGTCGGCACGCATGAGGTCCATGCCTTTTCCGGGCTTGATGCTAATGCCACCGGAGTCAAAGGTCACACCCTTGCCCACCAGGGCCAGAGGCGCAGCATCCGCGTCGGGCGCACCGTGGTAGTGCATCTCCACGAACTTGCACGGCTGGTCCGAACCCTGGGCCACAGAGAGGAACAGGTTCATGCGCTGCTCGCGGGCCCAGTCAGCATCGCGGACAATCACCTGAGTATTCGGCACATGCTTGAACAGGTTCGAGATGCGCTCCGCGAAGAGGGTGGGGTTGAGCAAGTTGGCAGCAGTCTCCTGCAATTCACGAGAGAGATTCTGTGCTCGCGCATAGACCTCACCCGTGTACCAGCTCAGCGGAGTGCCACTCGAGGAAAGCTCATCGCCGTCGTCACGCAAGGCCTTCTTCTCGGTGTCCGACGAAGCACCTGTAAGGGACTGGACCTGGATATGGCGACCGCCCTGCTTCTCCAGGGGCTGGCCCCATGCAGGCACGGAGCCGCGTGTCTTGAAGTGGTTCACAGTCCAAAGACCCAAGTTGGCGCCGACCGCTGCTGCATGGGGGCTCGAGAAGGAATCGACCTCGACCACTTGATGGCCCTCGTCGTGGCCAAGCTCGCGCAGGGCACGAGCGCCCTTGGCAGCCGCCAAACGAGTGCGCTCCAGGCTTTCATTGCGCAAAAACACTTGAGCCGATGGCAAAGCATCAGGGCCGGTCTTCGGTGCCTCTTTCTGCTCGCCCAATGCCAACGCAGCAATGGGGACCGACTCATTGGGGTACAGAACCCGGAGCTCACTAGTCTTGGTCGACGAGGCACGGCTACACTGCCACTGCGCAGTGATTTGTGCAGCTACTTCTGGAAGGGCAGCAGCAATCGCTGGAGCCACGCCTTCGCCATCAATACGAACAACCTTCCCGATGAGGTTCGACATGGAGAATACTAGGAAGGAAGTGATTATCTCAGGCGCTGTTTTAAATGGGTTGAATTTCTTTGTCCAGGGTATTTCGGATTTAAACCAGGCCTACATGGGGTCTGTGATGGAGGAATGCATACAACTGCCGAGCTGGCTCAGCTCCAATCACCTGTTGTAGCTGGGCGAGGCTCAGCTGGCAAAGTGCCTGTAAATTGGGCGCCTCACGCATTAGATATACGGCACTTTTGGTAGTCACGCCAGGCATTTCCCGCAACATTTCTGTAGGTGTCAGATTCATGGCGGCCTCTTGCAAGGAACCGTTTTCCATGGCGTCATCGAGCCCAATAGCTGCTGCACGTACAGGATCCGGTTCATCATAATTCTGCTTGAGATCAGATATGATTTCAACGCTTGCGTAGGGAGAGGACGACCAGATCAAGCGCAATCGGGGGAATGACAGTGTCAACAACACCAGTTTCGCCTGCACACTTAGTTCCTGTGGCGTCGTAAGACGACGATGGGCATCTCGGCTGTCACTCAGCGTTGCAAGTGTGAATGCTCGTTCTTGGTCAAACTCGATCAGCAAAATTGGATGAATATAGTGGGTTGACATAGCCTCACACTGGGTATACAAACGCCCAGAGTTCAAGCTTTGGACAAGATCGCTTAAACTCTTGCGCTCAACGCACATATCCGAGGAGATCACATAGTCACCCACCTGTAGCGTGCATGGTACCACAGCAAAGCCAGCTGCGTGAAGCAGAGAAGGAAGGCTGGAACGAAACTCTCGCATGTCCACAACCACAGTGGGACGTTGTGACACGGGTCCAGCGCGTTGGCCACCAGCCACGCGTGTGCTGAGTGACCGAATCATACGGTCGTCTCCCTGCTCCAACACAGGGTCCCCTTCCGCCGTAAGAGGAATGGCCATGGTCGCCTTCTTCCGAATGATCTTCTCAAAGGCATCTTTCTCACGTCGAAGACCCGCAAGATACATTTGTTCTTCCACCGAATCGGTGCACAACAAAAAATAGATACGCAAGTCTTGTATGCCATAGAGTGCACGGAACAGCTCAATGTGTCGAACGAACTGCGCATTTGGATCGTACAGAATGACATGGCTTGGCATGAGCTCTTGCAAGAGACTATCGTCATCGTCAGCCTGATAACAATGAATGACAACAAGTTGGCTTAGCTCGACCATGCCGAAATAGTCCATTTCATCCTCATTTATGATGGAATCCCAACTCTCTGCTGTGATGGCATCCAGGTCGGTTTGAGGTGAATCGTCTTGTTCCAATTGGGAGACCCGTGACAGCTGGTCCCATTCGTTTTTAGAGAGTTCAGGTACAATGGAGCGGGAGGTGGTGGATTGAGCCATGCCACCACGCATGCGACGACGCTTATTTGGTGAAGCACCAGTTCGGAAAGCCTTTCTTTGCATCGCTTCGCTAAGGGGCGTGTTTTTGGATAGGTTCGTCTGTGTTTCTTCGTGAATTTGTGCCTTGAGTTGCTGTTGCAATGACGTCAAATTCGTTTTCCAAGATAAATATTCCGATAAAAGCTGAGTCAAAACCGTTCGGCCTGGTCGGTCAGGTGTAGGGCCTGCCGTAGAGAGCAAACGCCGAAGTTGAGTGGCAGTTCTTTCGGAATTTACCATGATTAGTATAGGGCCATATGAGACGCAAGAACCACGATGGTATAGGTCTTGTTCAATTTCATCAAGCAGGTTTAACAACAAGCTCCATTTCGGTGGTTCCTCCAGTGTTAATGACACAGTGGTATCATCTTCGGACGTGTTCCACAAGCGCGCTTTGGCCTCCCCAAAAATGATATTGGCAGCATCACTCATAAGCCATGGAGAGGGTCGCTGGTGAGAATCGTCAGAGGGGCCATGCGAAGCGAGAATGGCCTCTAAGTATGCATAGAAAGAAACGGTATCGTATGAAATAAGTGCATTTAGAAGGCCCCGTAGCGTTGAAAGATCTCCCACCAGTTGTTTGATCCCAGGGCTGAGGCGATGCCACACTGGATCCAGCTGACGGCGAATTGTGACATCAAAAGACCCATGCATCAC